GGCCCCTTTAGTTTCTGGGCAAGTACTACTATGGATATCTACTCTTCACCATCTTTGAACTCCTTCTGTTTCTGTCTGTCGTGATGCCGACAGACACTTTCTTGCCGGAAACCCCTGGTGAAATCCACCTTCCCGGAAAAAAAATATCCTGGCGAGTTGGAGCATATAGTTCAGGATCTCAGTAATCTGCCCCTAAGCTCGCTTGCACTGCCTTAAAAGCACGTACACACATCGAATTTTGAGCTAAGCTTGGTGCAGTGATTTGTGAGAGGTCATTATGAAGCTATAAAATTGGGAACTGGTAATAAAATAGGCTTTTATCTGGCACGACATTGAATTACACAGACGAGCCAGAAATTCGGCTGCTGGTATCCCACACTTCGAATATCGCGCAACCCTGACTGCAGCTGTATGTGAAAAACGACTGAAAGTGATCGAAATTCAGACACTGCGCAGGTAGTGAAAGGTTATATTTCTTCTTTTGTCTTATAACCTGTGGACTATTTTGATGTTGTGGTGGGGCTCAATGTCCGATATTTTGTACCGTTCAGGACCGATGACATGCCGTAAATTTTTTAACCGTCACCAATTCGATGATGCCTATAAACCAGCTTCTCTCATGTTAAATTCATGATATGGGAATAGAGTTTTTATTTACTGATTTACATGGTTGCTTCTCATGCTGGTTGTCAGTTAATGCAGAACTGGCGAGCATCCACTTTCCTTGAATTCTACTATTGTTTTAGTCGGAGTGGCTGACATCGTAGTGTCAACAGGGCAAGGCCAAATAGGATACTCTTTTGTGACTGACATGGTTTGGACTACACTAGGAGGTCATCTTTTAGCTCATTGTCTTGCAGGGATGGGATTGCTTTCTAGTGGCTATATGACACCTCCTATTCTGTCTTTCACACAATAAGGGGCCATAAGGACCTTTATAGAAGATGCTTCAGAATCAAGGCGAGAAGGCGGCGCAAAACACGAAGGGTACAACTAACGGTCAATAAACATAATACCGCTAGTTTCTGGAACTATTGAGAAAGTAGCTGAAGAGGGCTCTGCAGCATATTTTAGAAAATAAGTTTATCATGTCTCCTCAGCGTTGTCTCCTGAAGTTATGTTCGTGCATGACTTGTCACTTCGACTTCTTAAACAACAGAACCACTGACCGAAACCAACGCTTGTTAGTCCTGATACTCTACTTCGATACCTCCAAAGCATTTGACTGGGTTGACCATTCTCTGTCACTACGAAGGCTCAAAGCCTCTAAGTAGAACAACCACTGCAGGGTTTGATCGGGTCCTTCCATTTCAAACATCCGCAGGTAATAGGAATTGGATCCTAGCTTTCGAAACCTAGGGCCATCACATCTGGTGTCATCCAGGGTAATGCGAAGGGTTTTCTACTCTCCACCTTTTTGCCAGTGACCTCTATAGCTAGCTCTCACATGATAAATCGTTTCTGTCTACTGATGACCTTAAGGTAGCCTACACATCTCCTGTCGATGACTCAGGCTACTTACAGACATTCGGGCAGAAAGAACTGGACTGGGTTACCGAGTGGTCTACTATATGGAAGCTTTGATTCAGCACTGACAAATGTGGTTGGAGATGCTTCAGTGAACCACCGTTAACACGTAAATAACCCCGCAGTCTGTGATGCCATTCAGCCTCCAGAATGTCGCTGACTTGGGTCTGAGGTATTCTGACGACTTGAAGTTCACTGAACGAGTTCCAACTAAGATTCAAAGTCGAAAATTCATTTAGGCTGTATGATTCGTAAATTCTACACCCATGAACATAAACTCTGCAAGACTCTAGTTAAACCACCTCTGGGATACTGCTTGTTCATCCTGAGTAGAATGTGCATAAGTGGCGAACTTGGGATGGGAAGTGCCCAGAAGTATTCCACATTTAGCCTGCTCTGGCATCAAGGTGGACAGGAGTGCATGCCCAGATGTATATCTCTTCAGTTGTAAACGATTTGGACGAGATGGATGAAGATAAATCTTGTTTTCTTTTTCAAGATTCGACACAAAATATTATCATCTGGTCAGCGACTTCTATTCTCGCAAACAGGCTGCTATGATTTACGTAGCCAAGTACATGGAGTCGAAATAAAAACTATTATAATATCTCCACACGGTAACGTCTTTTCCGTCAAGTTCCCCCAAATACGAAATCTACTCGTTGTTTAAGTTAGAGCTTTTAGCCCTAAATATTATATTATGGTCTGACATCATTTTCGTACTCTTATGGGACCTTGGTAACCACAATTTTCAGCGTAAATCATACTATCAGAATGTAAAGAAGGCATAGATTTCACGGTCACGGCTTTGCCATCAGTTATATCTTCAAGCATATTTGATGTTTCCGACAATGGTTGGATAATTCCTGCTTTCGAATTGAACTTGAACATTATGCATTGTGTTGTACAGCGATCTCTGAGGTAAAACACCATAGAACCAAGATCATCCATTTGAGTTACAAATATTCTCTACTTCCAGTCACCCATCTCCTCAATATATGCGAACTTAATCTGCTGCTAAGATTCATTTCATTGTGGTGCAACGATTATGTTCTCTAGTGAATGAATAGATGGAGACCAAAGTAACCTGTCATAGAGAAGCATGCAATTTTCATAGAAATATGGTTATACATGTAAGCATGGTGCGTACTCATGTATTCAGGAATGAAAATACTGTTACTGCTTCCAACGTATACTTCTATGCATTAAAACGACTGATCTTAATGTAATAAATCTTCACGGCTGTCAACCGTTACACTCGAAGAAAAGGAAATCCACATGTTCTTCTCTTTCATATTACTATGCGGATAGTTATTGATAATTCGGATAGAAAACTACAAGTTGGCAAGGAAATCTTAAGCTTAGGCTCAAAACCAAAATGCGAACTTACTGGAAATATTACTTCGTACTTGGCGTTGGGAACTGTTGAAAGAACCATTCAACTGGTTGGCCCCCAACGTATTCCTATTTTCCGCATAGTTTCAAAATAAACTCACTTGTTTACCAACTTCCTCCAAACAGCTTCAAATGAAGACGATTTTGCAACAAATAGTTTACTTTTTCTAGACGGTTATAATTGCAGCTGAAATCTAAACAAATAAGTAAATCCAAGAGACCGATTTATCTAGTGACTAAAAGGGTAACTCGACACTAATACTTTCCGCTTGCCCAAAACATGGAAATTTTTTTTGCAGGGTACCCAAGAGAAAGAAAAAGTGGGTTTGCACGTCAACAGAGTCTTTGAGAAATCTTCACGAGGCCAGTCATACGTGATCGTTCTAAGGTTGTTGATTAAAGACTTACTTGTGTTAACACTGGGTAGGAAAAAAACCATACCGCCGGAACCGGAATACCGTACAGTAAGAAGGAGCGTGCATGTTTTGAAGCTGATATTTTCTAACACCCAGCCATCCCACGGGGAAGACGGTGTCAGCATGGAACTACTGGTCATCCATGTAAAGCACCTTACTGCTGTCCCGAAGCATTCAGCCATCAGTACCACTTCACTCTGTGACCTCCATTATAGCGTACCAGTTTACACGTTAACAGTAAATGTGTTTCATCTTACCAATACTAGTCTGCAACCCATAACAATAAACTTTTCCAAGTCATTGAACTGAGACCTCAAACGTTATTACCTAAACTTTTTATTTAGCCGAAAAAGAATGAGTATTTTCCATTTCTTTTCTGTTTTTGGTATTAGTTTTATTGAGGTAGTCAGACTTCCTCTGAATGAACAGTTGAAAATCGGTTTTACTGAATATTCCCCGTTGGCAAACATCATCACTACCCCTAAGTCCGATATTACGGGATTGCTAATCAGGTGACTGAAAGTTTATCAAATGTGCATTTGTTACTTTAGTTGACATAATTACTATTCACTAGGCGATGATGCAGACAACTATTTACAATAGTTAGATGATTTTGACCAGTAGCATGACAACAATTAGGGATTCCTAATGAATATATTGACTGAGAGTAGAGACGATAAATTCATAGTTGATAAACGCGGACTTTTAAAAGAACACTTTTTCCATCGTTACATGAAGTACGATTCGAATAAAACCAATATAAAAAAGAACACTCAGAAAAAGTGAGCTGAAATGCAAATCGAGTTTCATAAACGTATGGGTACTGAACCGAAAGGTGTGAGATATTATGAGTCAAAAAGTAAAAGTCCTGTATCAATGTTCCCCTTGTTAGCGCTTATGATTAGGTGTCTGGAGCCTTGCAAAAAAAGTACGCTTCACTCGGTGGTTCGAATCTGCATCACCTGGTGCTTAAGTCACTATGAAACCAATCAAATCACAGCCAAACGTAATAGCACTAAACTATACATCCATATTGGGAACCGATAATCCATCATCAAAGCTCTGTACTCAAAACTTGACAGCTGTACAGGTCAGCATAATATGACATATGAAATGAACACAATAGTTGTGGCACTTCAGTGTATCAATTCTTCACACTTTACATTGAGAGCTGACCGAGTTTATTAGTGTTGTAAGTCTAACAGTTTGTTATACGATTATGTGAATCGATCAACAGGCTATCATGGAACTGTTTTTCGATCTTATTGGCATTGGTCAGCAAGGCGTAACTGAAATCATGAACAAACTGGTATTCTCTCGGTGCATCGAACATATGACAACTAGTGCAGAAGTCGTAGAATTAACTACTTAGGCATTCAGTACTAATTCGAGGCCTTCACTGGTATTTCGTTTACCTACTGTTGAGGATCTCATGCATAAATAAATCAGTTTCCGTGTAACATATCTGTGCAACTAACATGAGTACTAGGGATTTCCATCAAAATATCTGAAAGATCGAACTGACACCATTGAGGAGTAACCCTGATCCAGTATACTGCTGATTTGGAACAGTATTATTTTTTATCGGTTTATGCCGACGTTAATATGTAACTCTAAGAAGCTAATCAATTAATGCCAATAAAAATAATATAGAAGAATGAAATGGAATACTATTATCAAATATCATAGTAATAAAACAATCTTACAAAACACAAAAATAAATTCTAACATTATACGCTACTAATTATACACAGAAGCGAAGTGAAAGTTGTTTTTCAATTAGATTTGGAAACCATAAACTGCTCTCATAGTCTGTAAATCCTCCCTACTAATTGAATAGACATGTTTAAATAGACATGGTAAGGATATTTGGTTTTTCATACTCAGTAGTGATGATGCTGATAAACTTTTACCACATTGAACGACTGAATTCTGTTGTAACAGTGTGGCTGCTTTGTACTGTTTAATTTCCAGTTGCCTTTCTGATTCTGGTTTAAAGCGGAATGCCTGTGAGAAGAAGATAAAAACAACACCATTAATAATTCGAACAGAAGTACATTCCAGAGATTGGTTAAGATTATTTGAAACAGTTGTTCAGTGGAGAGATTTCAAATCATTCATTGACCACTAGTTGCGTTCATCCTCCGCAATTGGCAGTCATGTATGTAAAGATCACAACTGGGAATGAAAGAAGACCTAGACTGCAGTCTTAACTAGGCTCAACAAAAAGCGCAATTCAACTGCCACGGTTGGTCTGAAAAACACTGCTTTTTCAATTCAGCTGCGAGTTGTTACTCTCCAGGAATCTTGGTCGGTGAACACAAACCACACTTTTATGTGGAATAACCACCCACCTAAAACCTTCAGCTTGCAAAGTTGTGAGAAATTGACCTTTGGAAGTAGAAGACATGAGGTGATAACAGGACTTTAATCGCAGTTGGCTTCGTAGCATTACCATGTACTCAGGCGAGGGGTATTAAGCCGGATGGGTAACTCAATTGATTAGGTTGTGAACCTTAGTCAGCTGAGATGGCCTGGACATGTACCGCACATACCGAGCCACTGACTCGACATGCAATGCTAAGGAAAGTTGGATTAAGATGGAGGAGGGTTCAGGGTAGCGATACCAGGGTGTGACACTAGTCGATGAAGTCTTTTGTTGATGGTTTGAGTCGTGAGGGGAGATGTAGACTGCCTGAATGGCGTCCGCGAGACAAAAAGGTATCAGTGATTTAGGACTCTTAGTGACGTGGTATCAGTGCGGACGTTGCAACAACTGACTTTTTTACAGACCATTGATTTCAGTGGTGGCTGTAGTTAAAATCTGGCTAATACTATATGGTCTGAGCTTAAAACGGATCAAGGGGAATCACTTTGTCGGTTTGCGAAATAAAACAATTGACAAACAGTGACTTAAATACTATCATCTACAGGAAATCAACACATTCTAATAGGTACCTATATTTCAGGTCACTTCACTCCGCAGCAGTTAAAGAAGGCTTACGAAAATACCCGAACGATAAAGCTAGAAAGTTGGCCGGTGAATCGAAGGACCTTTTATTAAGGAATGGAAATATATATTCAAAAGACAATACTACTCAACATTTATCCTTCAGAGTTTACAAGATTGTTAGGAACACATTAGGAAAGGAGCAATAATAGTATTGTAAAGTGATAAGAGAATCAAAAGGAAAAAGGAGTTAAAGGGGTTTTATTGTGTTACCATATAAACAGGAAATATAATAAGCTCTGTGTAAAATTCTTATCAAGGTTGTAATTCAGAAAATATTTACACCTACTAGCTCATTCACAGATAAACTTTGTCAAATTGACGGATTCTACTTATCCAATTAGACAAATTAATTCGATCCACTACATTTTTTCGTCAGTGGGTTCAGTTACATGACAGACAGATGAACAGAGAACTCATGAAAGAAACAACTGACTTCAAGCTGCCATAAACCACAGGAGCATGAAGAGAAGAAGCTCATAAAAAAGAACCATTTGGGATTGATAAAAGTATATTAAGTGGTGGACAATAAACAAATGAAGTTTAGGGGAAATGCTTTTACTCCTAAAGTGAAGAAAAGCGTGGGATAGTCAGCGTTAAGGTCAATTTCAACCACACCACTAAGAGTTTTTGATCTCAGCTATTACAATTTCACATGAAGACATACAAACATACAATGGGATGGGACAAGTCAAAAGTACTAAAGGTCGATACAATTAGATGGGGGGGGGGACAGACCAGTGGATTGTTGGGCATTTGAAGAGACCGGTCCCGGGCTTGAGTCTTGGTGGGAATAACATCGCTCACTGAGAGGCGGGAACATTCAGCTGGAGAGTCTCGACGAGGATAAAATGCGCGTCCTGGATTCCACTACTAGTCCCTACCCATTATTAATATCAAAGTTGGAACGACTGGGAATATCATGGCATCCACGCAAGAGCCCAAATGCCAATAGAGACTGATTATTTCGGTCCAACCAACGACGGGAAAATACATGCAACAGCAAGCCCGATACATATAACTGCAACGATGCAACACTTATTACAAAGATATTGAAGACTCTATAATCACTGAAATCAAAGAACACAAGATGACTGAACTTTAAAAACCAAGTTCCAGAAGTTGCATTATCATCTAGATACAACAACAAGCAATATCTCTGCTCAAAACGTCATCTAGTCAATAAAACTGAATCATTGTGTACAAAATCTCAAAGCAAATCGAATATGGAAGTGAATTCTACTGCTAAACTCAAGTTTAACTTTTAAACTGCATCTTCTTAAAGCAAGTCAACACTCAGTGTGTGGCTTGCAAACACATAGTCCCATAAAAATCTCGTTATTCGATAACCACTGAAGTTCCAATGCAGTATCATTTGCATACAAAGTGGTAGTATATTCACTTTAAAATTCGTATAAATACCATGGTGAACTAATGACCAGATAAATGATCGACTGGTTTAATACGAGGCTAATGAACAGAAATATCCAGCTAACACAACAACTGGACCATTCAAGTCTGCTATGAAATGGATGGAAAAATCGAAAATAATGTTTTCAAATCGAACACACTATTGTCAATATTGCTCACAAATGATTGGTTCAGTAGCTACTCAGTTGTGAAGTTAACAGGGCTTGAATTGTATGCCATATCCTCTGGGGGAAAATAAGTTGATATTTATGACCCCAAATATTTCGATTATGAAACTTACTATAGCATTACTGATTAATCCATCAAGCTCGGTAAAAAATTCCACTGATTGTTGATAAATTTTCCAATTTGTGCCTGATTCCATTGACGTTACTTTGCATACACAGCACTCAGAAGTAACTTCATTCACACTAGTTGAACGTTTCCTCCTGAAGTTGTCCTGATTGTTTGTTGACGTCTTTGTAACATTCTGTCGACGTCGCATAAAAAGTGACTTTAATATCGACGAAAATTTTAGTTTTTTGTGCTTCATTTGTACTTTACCACTGAAATTTTGCAACTCCATGACAACACAATGACTATGATTCAATGTATCAATGAAATCCTTATGAATTTGTTTAACATGATGTTCAAGGAATTCGGGATTTAGAGGCTGTGGAGTAGATATATGAGAATTTCCAAGTTTCTTCGGCAATAAAACATAACCTTTCCATAATTGTTTAAATGTAATTGGTTGACATAAGATTAAAGCGATTGATTCAAATGAATGAGGCAGTTCCTGATTTCGTTCTGCTATAGCGATCAAATAACCCCAACCAATATGATTCCATAAATCGTCTATCTGAATTAAATCGATACTTGGAATTTTAAATCTATTCATGTATCGTATGTATAAATTAACTGGATATTTACAAACTATGACATGTGTTGAAAGAGACTGGTAAAATTGTTTTAAACTGTGAGTATTTGATTGTAAGTGAACTGTAGCCAATGATGACTGACTATATCCAGATAACGGTATACGTTGTTCTGTAGAATTTTGTTCATTTGAAGCCATAAGATTTTGTAAGGATTGATATTTTCTATAAAATTCTATTGGACATGAAAATCTGGATTTATCCACTAATGGTTGTTCAATAATGTGTATGTTGGAAACAGTATTAAGTTTAGTATGTGAATAGGTTGCATGGCGTATTCCAATACATGAACACTGATTGTAATTAATAGGCGCTAAGATATCAGATATTCTAGAAACTGTAGGATGAAAATGTTTCATATGAGTTGGTGTTGATGTTCTGCTGTGATTGTCCGTTTTCAAAAGTTCCATAGATACTGAATTTTTTGAGTAATTTTACATTTTCTCCTGCTATTTAAAATATACCGGTAAACTGAATGCACTGATTTATTGTAACCTGTATCATTTTGATTTTTGCGTTTTCGGGTTATTGTAAAATCAGGTGATATAATTTTTAGTAGGTTAATCGGATGTTTAACCTCAGTTTCATTTATTCTACGCATATATTTTTAAGGGTTTAGTAATATAGGTGGCCAAGTTTTTGAAATAAATTTAACTCGCTTTGACTCATTTATATAGACTGCTACTCAAATCTGTACAATCAAAATCTTTAGTAGGGGGGTTAGCAGCAATATTCGTTGACCGTTTCAACCATCATCATTATACACACGTGGATACTACGTCTAACTGATAGACACTACCAAATGTATTTACTATTCATTTTATCAATCAATTAATTTTTGCTAACGTTTTGTAATTCCAGTTGTACGTGTCCGATTACATAATAGACTAATTTTAATATGTAAAGCATTAAATATTCTTCAATAAAAAGTAATTTCTACAAAGGTAAATTACTTGAGAGTCACGAGTGATCTTAGACAATAGTGAGTAGTGTTATCGACAATATCTGAATATTGATTTTAAGATTGACTTCTGTTAAAGGCTACTCAGGAAGTTAGTAGTCTTGTTTACATCACAACTTAACAGTTTGCTGAAAAAAAAATAAACAATCAAATAAGATGACATCAGAAAAATAATTTAAGTGAAAAATCGCATGTAAGAGTTGCTTTATGCAATTCTGATCTTTCATCCTTGAAATGAATATGGCCAACTAGAAACACCTAGTGATGAACAGGAATAAATGACGTGGGATTACAAGATTTCATATTTTCTTCACAACAAGTTGAAAAAGGTTGTAATGATACATCAGATAAACAAGTCTAATATGCAGTTACATTCTACCATAGTACCCAAGTTTTACACTTCTATTAATGATTTATTGAATGTCTTGATCTACTAAGTTTCTAAGAGTCATTGGAGTTATATCCAATCTTCGATAATTAGTTGAATTAACTATGTTGGACTGTGGTTCACTTTCATGAGTAGGAATGTAGATATAAGAGAATGCTCATACAAAAACTTTTAACTCCTTACCTTATCGTCTTGACCCATATCCCACGCAAGTTGCTTCCGAACACCTACTCTATAGTCTGGTTAAGATGTAATTCAGTCTACTTTTGATTGTTTGAGCGCATAGACAGGTGGATATTCGTTATATGATTGTTTCCCAGAGACACTAATTCGATAGGCATGATCATGATGCACAGCTGGCTCTCTTCGTGAATTCAAAATAGAAAAATTAAGAAAGGATAACATTTTTTAACTTATCATGAAAATAATAACTTCCCAAGTAAACAACAGAAATTAACCATGAGGGTGGGAATAAATTGAATTAAACGCACTTATGTGAAAATCAACAAATCACAATCATTAGTAAGAGAAACTAATGGAAAGTGTTTTAAAAATAGTCATTGGAACCACTATAGATCACTCAGTGTGAACTTTGAATTCAAAGATCAGGTTTAAAAGGGTTTATCGAAACACCGTTTGAAAACTGAAATAAAACTTGGCAAAATTACTTGTCAATTAATACTTTACACTTCAGTGACCTTGAACCCCTTCCCTCATGTTCGGTTGGTCACAAAAGACTGAGATGTTGATACTATTTGGCTATCTAGGATGCAAATTTTATAGATGAATTCAAGAAACGAAGCTGACACTCATCTTTCCATCTTCTTCATATACCTGCTTTTATTACAGCAAGTTGACTGTGAGGTGTCCAGTTGAAAGTAATACGGAGGACTTCATTATATATTCTCAAAATAAATGAATATTCACATCTTTTCTGTATAGTACCCTGTGGAACGATGACTGAAAAGTGACTTGGTCTTATGCTTAAAAACAAGTGTAATATACTATAAATGTGTCACAATCATGTATTGTAGTGCTTTTTTAGGATGGATGAAGACAGTGAATTGTTTAGGAAATTAAAACACTTGAAAAGTGAAGCCTCAGTAGACTATTACTCACCGATACGTAGTGGAAGAAAGTTCAGTAGTCAGTGTGAACTTACACTAAACGTCAGAATATGCTGAAAACCAATTTTCCTAAATTTCAATGTCCACATTGAAAAAAACATTGATAAAATGAAACTTGATGTTCAAAGATATTTACTAACTTTATTTATTATATCAAGGTGTCGGCTCAACTCGAAAACTGCACAACATAATAAAAATGAAGTGGTTCATTATTCAAGAAAAGAGAGTCACAATGAAATTTATCGTCACTTATGATTACATGTGTAACAAAAGTGTTAGTAATGGTAAACAGACTAGGTGGAAGAAGTTGAAAATTAGAAAAATCTAGCAGTGAAAATATTTCTTTAAAAAAAGTTAAAACTCAACTACTCTGTGTCCACGTCTAGTTCTGAGATGTAAGTGGAATAATATAAAAATGACTCTATTACTACTCTTTTCTTTAGAACGTCTGAACAAAATCTTACCATAGTGAGAAATGATTACATCTCTAATAAATTGTTTTCTAATTTTAAAGCGATACAAAATGTTTAAAACCACAGATAAATGTGTAGGTCACACAAAAAAAAACACAATAAAGACAAACATTTAAAAATGAAGGAAAACATTTTGTTGTTAATTATTTAACATTCTAAAAAAAATATAATTTTGTTAAGAATTCATAAAAATGAAAATTATCAAAAGAAGCGTTGGAAAGTGTAGTTTTGATCACTTGCTTTCTTCAATATACCTGGATTTTAATTGTCGAACTAAAGAGTTCATTTCTCTGGCAATGTTAACTGATTTGCTTTACTTTGAAGACAATTTTGTCAAGATAATTTGTCAGTATCTGTTTGTCAGGGAAAGAAAACACAACAGGAAGAACAATAATAGCGAAAATAACCTCGGTGATGTTTGTTGTTGAGTTTGGTAAACTGATATTCACTATATATATATATATATATATATATATATATATATATATATATATATATATATATATATCGACTGCTGAGTGATACAATGTTTTTCTTACTGACAACCGCAGGACTAGTGGATTGTACACAGCTGACGAAAAAATCTCCTAAATCATAAATCACACTTACGTTCCAATTAATTTAAATGAGTAAGAACAACCTTCATCTTTCTGATCATAAACGTTTGACTTTGCTAACACATAGGCATCGTAAAGACAACTGCCAGCACGTCTGCGGGAAAAGTTACAGTGGAAAAGGTTACAACGATAAGAATCACACACAGGTTAGTGTACTTGTCACCAATTGTGCGAGGACCAGTTATACTACCTGGGCGGCAGAATATTAGTGGACAGAGAAGAGCTTTAACCCATGACACACTGGCTAAGATAGAGTTGCCTAGATAAGTGTTACAATGCCTCACAATATGTACAGACGCGGAAGACAAAAAGAATAGAAGGCAAATCTGCGAAGAAAATATACTTTTCGATGAATTCACATACCGAAGTTGTACATTCGTATTTATAGACACGGGGAACAGATAACAGTCTACGACTAATGAATAGGAATGTGGATATTCAAACCTTATTTAAAAAGCTTAAAGATTATCATCGGTCTAGCAAATTCACGTCAGAATCCAAGAATAACTCAGAGTTTCATTTTTTTGATGTCTCGCTGAAAAAAGCTTCAGACGTTTCGCTTAAAAGAACCGTCTACAGAAAGCCTACTGGGCTAGGCAATACACACATTTTCATGAATGAATCCTGTTGAACAAATAGAGAGATGTAATTCATGCGTTACCATCGAAAATCAGAAGAATATGCATAGATGCAACGGTTGGGAATGAATTGAATATGCTTCGGGAGATATACTCGCAAAATGAATAACCATCCAGGTTTATTAAGAAGCACTTGGAAGTCAAGTAAAATACAGGCTACATGCATACAGCTGCGAAGAAGACTATATTTATAGATGTTGATCCCATGGGTGATATTGCAGCTCATATTCTGAAGAATAGATCATTCAGGTTAACAAGGATCGCATTCCTTGCAGCCAAAACAGATCTCAACTTCTCAAGTTGGAAAATGATTCCTGAGAGTGCTAAGTGACTGTCAGTTTGTAAATTCAAGCTGGATCAAAAGTTGTAGAAGAAATACGCCCAAACTTTCCTTTAACCAAGATTTAATCGATAATGAAACCTCGCCTAGTTTACTAGCTAGTCCTAAGCCCAGATAAAGAGGGAAGATTGGGCATAGGGCCAGCAACCCTACACCGAAAAACCAATCCAATCACTAAAGAAACTTCAGAACACGGAGAAAATATGAAAATAAAGTATTCCTTGCTGGAATCGGGGAGACGAAATGACGCTGGTTGGTGAAAGCCTTCGGGAAGCCAACTGGTGGATGTGTCTTCTCTTCTCTCTATGAAAGGAAAAGTAAGCATAGGGATGTGGAATATCTGCACATTGTTTGAAGATGGCTGGCAAGGCTTTCCAGATTGCAAAAGAAATGAGAAGATATAGCATAGAAGTGCTAAGAATCTGAGAGAGCAGAGGGAATGGAAGTGGACTCTCCAAAAACTGTCACCTGGAGAGTCAATAATCTACTCCCATATTGTCACCCAGACGACAACCACGAACACACTGAGTTATGGAGTGGGTATCATGATATCCCCAAGAGCATCGAAGGCTCTCATGCAGTGGGAACCAATCTCCTCCTGCAGGATCATGACAGCATGATTCAACTCAAAAGGAAGGAAGTTTACAATCATACAATGCCACGTTACACACCTACAAATAATGCAGGTGAAGAGAAGAAGGAGGAATTCTACAGACAACTGCAATCAGTACCGGCGACATCAAAATTCTAATGATTGAGGGGACTGAATGTCGAACTGGGAGTGGAAAACACAGGAACAGAACTGATCATAGGTCGAGAGGCACTCGGTCAAATGAACGAGAAGAGAACTGTTTGCAGACTTCTGCGCATTTAATGACTTGGTGATTGGAGGCAGTGTGTACAAAAACAAGGATTTTTACAAAGCGACATGGATTTCACCAGACACCAAGACACACTAAAAATCAGATCGACTTCATCTCAACCTCAAGACACAAGACAAAGAAGAGGAGCAGATGCAGGTTCACACCACTCACCATCTAGTGCAAGCAAACTGCCTTCAAAATCAAGTTGAAAGCCTTCAAAGAAGTTGGTGATAGGCCACAGTTCAAGTTCAGCACCCATAACAGAAACTGAAAGACGAAACTACAAAAGACATCTTCACAACAGTCATCTATCAGAACAAAATGGGAGACACTAAGCAAAATGCTTGAAGAAATCTGCATAGAAGAATACTGGAAATTTCTGAAAGAGATGTGGAAAGAAACCTGTGTAACCGTATTAGGAAGGAAGAAGAAGCAAAACAAGGAATAGATCTCAACGGACACATAGAAGCTGAAGGAGAAGACGGAGCTGGTGAAGCAGAAGATGAACTATTGCAGCGCAGGGATGAACGACAAAAAGAGGAACTGAACACAACCTATAAAACACTGGACAAAGAAGTGAAGAGTGCACGCAAAGACAAAAGTCACTTCTGAGACACACTGGCAAGTGAAACAAAACAGGCTGCAGGTAGGAGAGACCTGACAACACTATATAAAATAACCAAATTAATATCCGGGAAGAGATCAACGCAGGCGAGACCAATGAAAGATAGCGAAGGGAACATAGTTACCGAAGTAAACGATGGGCTGACCACTTCAAAAAGCTCTTGAATCGACCACCACCACCACCTGCAAGTCGTCCAGAAATACCACCAGCAACGGAAGAACTACCAGTTAACACAAGCCATCCGACAAAAGCAGAAGTCCTGAAAGCCATAAAGCTGCTGAAAGCCAGGAAAGCAGCAGAGCCAGATGAAATTCAGCCAGAAGCACTGAAAACAGACGCAGAGACAACAGCGGACATGCTCACGCCACCACTGCAGAAGGTTTCGTAAGAAGGAAGGAAGGAAGGAAGGAAAGGTACCTGCAGATTGGAAGAAGGGCTACCTTGTCAAACCTAAGCCAAGACCTAAGTCTTCACAAGATCAAGAACTGGCACAGAGTCATGCTACTGTCTTCCTCAAGCAAAATATTAGGCAGCATCATCCTGGAGAGACCAAAAAACGCTCTGCATTCCAAATTACAACTAGAACAGGCTGGTTGGTTTCAGGAAGAACAAATCATATGCGGACCAAATTGCAACACTACGCTACATATCATCACAGAACAGAGTATAGAATGGCGGTCGACCTTTTTACCTCAACTTCATCGGTTTTGAAAAGGTATTCGACAAAGTCAACCGAGAAGTAATTTGGCAACGAGCTGCTTCAACCCTACTGTTTTACTGCTAAGAACCTCTTATCAACCTCATTCAACAGCAGCTATATGCTATATGATACTACATGCCAAGTGATTCCCAATGGAAAGCTCAGTGACGCCTCTGAAGTGAAGATTGGATCAAGAAAAGACTGCCTACTATCATCGCCGGTGACCTTCCTGATTGTGGTCAACTGGACCATGCAACAAACAACTGTGAGGAGCGATAAGACGGGCACACGCTGGATCGATGAAATGACCCTAAAAGATTTGGATTTCGCCGATGATGATTTATGTCCAATGTCGCACAAACTCGAAGATCTGCAGGCAAAAACCAACAAGTTGACAGAAGAAGCGGGGTAGCGAAGACAAGACTCCAAGTGAACGTAGAGGAGACAGAGGTGATGAAGATACCCAACCAACAACTGCATCAACAACAAGCACCGATCACCATTAACGGGAAAAACCTAAAGGAAGTAGTTTCTTTCACCTACCTGCCTAGGTAATTTCGTTTCAACTACAGGCAGCGGCGGCACAGATGAGGATGTCAAAGCCAGCCAGGATCGGAAAGCCAGCAAGACAGGCCTTCCTGCATTAGTGGGAAACCAGTGTGGAGATCTACTGCCCTGCACTCAGCAAAAAGCGTGAACAACATCCGGATTTTCAATACTAGTGTCGGTCAAGTCAGTTCTTCTATGTGATGGTTGAGAGACTTGGCGTGTTATGAAAAGCATTTCCAACAAACTACAGACATGCATCAACAGCTGCCATCTTCGCTCAGTATTGGAGATCAGATGGCCAGGAAGAATAAGCAACAAGGAACTCTGGCTGGTTGGGAATGAACCAACCAAGAACCCATCGCCCAACAAATATGCGGAGGAAAGTGAAGATGGATTGGGCGTACACTGAGAAGACCGACTGAGGACATCACGTGCCAGTCCAGGTCGTCGAGTGGAACCCAAGGCGGAAGGGACGAGTTGTACTTCCGAGGCGAGGGTGACATGGAGGAGATCGTGTGAAGAAGAAATGGAAGCTTCTGGACAGTCATTGAGCCAGGTGAAAAAGACTGGAGAGGACAGAGTGAAATGATGTGCTACTGAAGCCCTATGTTCCACTAGGAATCCAAGGGATAAATAATAATCATAATAAATAAATCGATAGTGTATTTTTGTGGGATTTTTTCTCTCTTCAGAATCATCTGTTTATCTTAGTCTATGTCATCACAGTAATCACGTGACGGTATTTAATAGTAACAGACTGATGAATACTACTTCTAAATCAAAATCCTCATACGTCTGAAAAATACATTACTATATAGTGCTCATTAGTGACATGCTTCTAGATGGATATCACAAAGTTCTAATGGGAAGCCGTGACTCATGGGATCAAACAGTCGGAAGGGAAGCGGATGTCAAATGAAGATATTAGGTGATAATCACGCTATATCATGAATTGACGGGAGTTGGAAGCTGTGAACCACTGAACACCGACCCAGTAGCTAAATGGTTGACGCGTTCTCCGTATAAACTGAAGGTCCTGAGTACGACCACTAATCAGATCGTGGGTGCGTACTGCTGGGGAGTACCATACTTTTTAATGCTCCCAGGTTTTCAGTGGTTCCCCAACTGATGTCAGTCCGTGATGAATACTACCTATAAATTAAAATCCCTATTCATCTCAAGAGAACTATTATTCGCCTCCAATACTTACAGGTACGATTATACAGCTTAAATAAATGAATTTATCAAAAGGAAAATTTTCTTCGCAGACTTACTTTTCCTTCTTTTAATGACTAAGTGAGTATCTTTCTTCGTTTAGATATAGGAAAACTTACGAATTTAATAGCACTTATACTACGGAATATTGAACATGGAAGTTAATCTCAACAATAAAAGCCAATTAAGGTAAACGTGAATGGTAAGCAGGAATTCATTGAACACTATCTAGCTTTTACAGCTTTGACAATACTTGTTGTAGATAAACACACTATAGTCTTCAAAGTATAATACTGTATAACCTTGAGATATACGAGACAGAACTCGTGATACGTTTTCACATGATTAACCATTAAACGACGAAAGTCAACCATTCTGTTCTACTTATATTCAGTAAAGAAAGTAGAGGAAGTCCTGTGGTGACTGCTACTAAGTACAGAGCTTGTTGATATTTACTGATGGGTGAAGAGAACTGCTCGGTTGTTTTAGCTATTTTAAGTGTCAACAATGGAGTTAAATTGGTCTAGCGTGCTTCAAAAATATAGTAAGTAATTCAGCTTGATAGTTTTTATTGAGGGTAAATAAAATTCCTCTTTAAAAAGTAACTTCTTCCCTATATCTTACAATATCTTCATGACAGATTATACACTGTTTTTAGAATAAATTCTTGAAGCAGAGTTATATTGATCTACAAGATTTCTTTTAAGTATGTGTAGGAATTGACTGGTGTCTGTTTAGAAACATTAGAAGTTAGCTGTTTTTAAACTGAGCATCTTTTCGGTGTCACTAGGTTATTGAAAGGGAACACAGGACCTGGGCAAAGAGTAAATGTAAACTTCAAATATACATTTTTACTACTGATAATTCAGCTGGTTATTTTTAACAGACTGTGATAACAGTAATGTCTAAAAGCGATCAAGTCCGCCTTTTCTTTTTAATTTATCAGAGGTATACATCAATACTGACTAAGATGAATAAGTTTTCTACTAGAAGAAAAGCAGTATATTTTTAAAGGAATCAGTGGATTAGAGCTGAGAACTATCACTTCGGCAGGATTCGAATTAGTGACCTACCGACTGGTCTATGAGACCCAGTCGCTGACCGGGTATGTGATTCACTTCATACTTAATGGGCGTTAAAACTCAGTGACTCATTAGAAATAAAGTAGTGTATGATAATTGCTAATACTACATAGCTATCAGAGAGATGTAAGTACTATTAGTTCTTAAATTGTTGCCTTCTAATTAGAAATCCAATATTTAGATTGTTGGGAAGGTAATGTTCTACTTGTCTATGTGATATTTTATCGGGTCGAAATGCCTTAAATATTAAAATACTTCAAGGTATTCACACATATTTTTCGTAGAAAGTTTTATAGCTCACTAAGAATGCACTGAAATGGAAAATATATAGTTTGTAATGTGCCATGTGGGATGTTTTGATGTTTCTTGCTGGGATTCGGTTTGATTTCAGAAAACAAAACAGTTACAACTGTACATTATGTCATGGGTAAAATGAGTGAGATTGAAAAAATACCTATGTTTTTGGTAGGATTTGAATCACTGAAACGCAGGAATGGTTGTAACAATTACGTTTTTGGCTTCATTCGGTGTACAGCCAAGATGGTAACTTCAAGAGATGTTCGTCTGAGTCCTGAGAGAAATTACATTTCCCCTCTACTTAAGTCCTCTTCTCGTTACGTTTAGACTGGTCTGTTGTGTCAGTTTAATAAAGAGTTGGACTTTTATTAATGATTTCTAACTGAAATGTAAGGAAAAGTTCAACATTTATTTGGTGGTGGCAGTGGGTTTACATTCTCTCTTCAATTAATATTTGTTGCTTTATATACACATCATGGTCTTTTAACATACAAACTTTGTGAAGTTAACATAAACTCGTAGCATTCAACGGATTCACAAATACTCTCAGTTTCCCAAAGATCTTAGGGTTACAGTGGTTTCCAAAATTTCCTAGGAAGTGGTATAATGTCATCCAATTTAGTTAACATGAGAACTCAACAATGTAATAGTGTTAAATATGAAAAGACTGAGTAATTACTGACTATCTACTATCACGATAACTTATCTGTGGTTCAGTGCAAGTGAATGAAGAAAATGCTCAACAGGTTTGAATTTTTTCGATATTGAAACACAGAAATTAAAAGTTGGAGACTACTTTAAATTAGCCATCGAAATCTATTCACAATCAGTATTAAAAAACATCAAACATTCCTCTGTGAATAGCATAATTTATAATAAATACACTCAAACGGATAAGTTTTACCAGAAAATTAAAACAAAAAGGTATCATGTACACACTAAAATCTTACCTCAGCTAACATGCCATGTTGATCTAAGTGAATTAGTATAGGGGCGATTGTACTGATCCGAATACCTCATATATACTTCATCATCATTATGCATATTCAAGTTGGATGATTTTATACCGGAGACTGATGCTGATGTTGAGGTCATCATTGGATTTCCTATAGCTGTTGGTGACACTGTTGAAGTTGTTCCGGTTAATGGAAGAGTATAATCTGATTGTCTGCAGCGATTCAGTGTAGGTCGAACTGGGTCAGCTTTCAATTGGTCTAGTGTATTTCTGCAGTGGAAACAATTAAAGTATACAATCACTTTCTTAACTGTAAATACCATGTAAGTCTCTTCATGCCAAAGGATATAGACATTTGGTTTTGATCAATAATTCACCAACATCTCACAAAAACGTAGGTTAAATGACACTATAATCACGTTCGTTGATAGCTATATTTATAACGCACTTGGAATAAATTTTATGTACATACCAGATTGACTGAGGATGAAAATGTGAACTTTTTAGAATAAACCTAGTGACCTGAAAGATAAATCTGTTTTCAAATGATTACATAAGCTCCGATTTCGGCTAAGCACTACTAAGAAATCTGGAAAGAAGGCTACAATACAAAGTAGTGAGTAGCATAGAATTTTCAGCATTAATCAGACGGATATTGACTTCTTGATGAAAAACATCTTAACGTTGACAACACGTAAACCCCTTATCCATAAACCTCCAAGAGATAGAAAAGCACTGAGGATTTGCATATTATTATAGGTCCGAGGGTGATATGCAGCAGATCGTGTGAGGAAGAAATGATAATAATTATCCTCATGAACATAAGGAAGTATGGATTCCAGATGAGGGATTTCTCGCCCTCTAACTCAGAAAAGCATGACATTGATGACTATTTGTTAAGCATTTACAGCAGTAAAGTAAGTCTCGTTTTTAGTAAACTTTTGTTCACTTACATACGTGTGTAGAATATGGTTGGAAATACTAATCAGTATGTTTCAGACATTTCCAGTGAAAATCTGGGCATGGAATTGTAATTTAGTGGAATTCTTACATTGTAAACTATCCATATTAGCAGTCAGCCAAAATATGAATTCTGAATAAACCAGATGAACTATGCTCATAAGTAATTTTTTATTTGCAAATGATCGGACAGTACTTTTTTTTCTTGCATAGAAACGGTTAAATTGTATACAAACTAGTCACCAGTAGACAATCCATTTGGATATCTAGTTCTACGAGCTCAGCGTTGATGGAAGTTTATCTGTCAGGTTTGCAGTGTCATCCCTTAGCTAAATGATGCAACCCTATGATTTTCTTGATTTCAGTATGAAATGTCAGGGTTTAGTCTGTAGGAAGCTGTGGACCTCGATTTCTCATTGATGGCCGATTCGTTCATTTAATTCACTCTTAAAAGGGGTAGGTTGTGGTGTGGTGGTTAGATCTTTGAGTGGTGCTTGTTCAGCTCCCTCATGATAGTAAATTTGCTATAGTGATATATGTCAACAAGCACGGAACCTAGGTGTAGGGCGTGCTACTAACTGATTTTCAGGATGTACTATAAGGAGTTACAAGTATAATCTAAGGCATTTTGAAGGGATCATGTAGTTATTAAGAATAAAAGTGAATTCCTGGTACAAGCATCATTCAGGTAAGTGACATTACCAAAAATAAGGCTTGGTCATTAAAATATCTCAAACTCATATTAAACTATCACCTCATTTTTAAGATATATTTTAATATTACGTATATTTGATAGACTCTATGTAGAAGCTCCTACTTACTTACTATGCAATGCAATAATACGAAAAATAATTTTAACAGAAAATACCGTTAATATGAATGTAAAACTTGGGCACTGTACGGATACAAAAGGCTCGACTGGCTTCTGCCAATTTGCGCCACCTATGGCGCCACCGTGATATTCGTTTGTCTATCAAGGGTCGCGTGTACTGCACAACAGTCCGCTCTGTTCTACTGTATAGCTGTGAAACATGGCCATTGAAAGTGGAGAATACAAAAAGGCTTCAGGTGTTTGACCACCGTTGCCTTCGTAGTATAGGACGTATTCCGTGGTATCACCATGTGAGTAATGCAGAAGTTAGGTGTAGAGTTTTGGGGAGAAGAGGTAAGTCAGTCGACGAGGTTGTGAACCTTCATCGACTGAGATGGTTGGGACACGTACTACGTATGCCTAGTCACCGATTGCCTCGTCACACAATGTTGGCTAAGGTGAGTCCAGGCTGGAAAAAGGCCCGAGGTGGCCAGACTAAAACATGACACCAATGTATGAAGTCTCTGACTGTTGGTTTAAGCCATGTAGGACGATGCAGACTAGGTGGTTGGGGTCCACGGAACAAGAGGAACCAGTGGTTGGAGACCCTAGGTGATATGGCTCAGAACCGATGTCAGTGGCGCAGATGTATACACACATTATCCTCATCTTAATAACGCCATACTGAATCTCACCATTTTGTCACTCCTCTTTCCTTTCTTCTCGTACTTCATATTTCTTTTGATTGCATTCACTTATCTTCATCCTTCACCTCACTACCTTTTTACTTGATGTGCTGATATGAGGTGTGGCAACTCGGATTGTTACGCAGTAATGCCTGGTCCTATGTTGATAATGATGATGATGACTGTGGTAGAAATTAATTATATGTTAGATTTGTTTATTTGATTTACAACACAGTGATCTAGTGTTATTGCTTGTATTACACCGTCGTTGATCTAGTATTATTTACTTCATGACGTTTCGAGCATAAATTATTGCTCATAATCATTTCGATGTAATCAAAATAGTTTCGAAATTTGATTTTTATAGTTACGTCATTTTATGAGTTGTTTTTTGTTGGTAGCAAAATTTCCCATATCTCTGGTATAGGTGTTGCGTCATTTCTATTACATGTGTTGAGTGTTGATTCGATGAACAAAGATTCAGTAATTAATCTCTCTCTCCACCTAATTATATTGGACAGTTGCTTTAACCCACCCATTCTACTGTGTGGTTGTGTGTTAATGCATGCATAGTAATAGCCGAGTTTTTCCTAGATTATTGATCTCATTTAGGTCTGTTATTCTATATTTAGCTGGATTCGTATGTTCAGCTATTCTAACTGACCCCGACCGACTAGTTTGACCTATTTACTTGATCTCACAGTCATTACATGGTATTTGATATATTCGATATCTATATCTCTCATATAGTATGAATGTCAATTTCAGGTTATAGAAATCAACTTTGAATCAACTTTACTTCTCCTCTTCTATAATAACATACATGTACTGGATTCGACGTCCTGGGCACTTCCCACTAGTATAAACTTCTAAACTGATTGAAATAATTAATGTTAACGTCGTACAGACACAACCACAAAAGTTATTTCAGATGGATAGTATGATCATTAGGTCTTGTCTTAGAATGATCAATTATCATATTATCATCATACACGTTGGACAGGTGTCCTGCAGTTACCTAAATTTAGCCGATTATTAATTAAAATTTTATATTTCGCCTGATCACACTTGACTGTGATATAGTTAATATAGCTACATGGTAAATTTGTTACCTAGTGATCGATACATCGGTATCATTGCACGAAGAGAATTATTTGGTCCGTCAAGGTTATAAGTGATTATTTTCAAACAGTGTACTTCTTTACAGACAAATAAAGCATAGCATAAACATTTCTTAGAGCAATTTTCAAAATTTCAAAACTCAGATATACGTACCAGTATTACTCTGATGACCTTACTTTGCGATCTACCATAGCTATGTATTTCAAAGTCGAGAACATGACTTACATGCAATCGAATGGATGACTGTACGCATAAGTTCACTATACAGTAGTTCATGTATCTGGCACTTCAACTACTATACCTTACCGATAAGAATATAATATGCAGTGATTTGGCTAACCTATGCTTCCACCTTTGAACAAAGATGTTCAGATCTTATCCTTGTTATTCATTCATATCCTTGAAAACGGAAGACTTGATAAAACAGTAGAAGGGTGGTTGTCAAGTTAGCGATAGGCGTAAATTGCAAATATTTTAGCATATATGTGTCTCCAAGCTTTTCTAGAACGTTATTTAGTGCTGATTTTGTCGTGATAAGGAGTCTTATAGGGATACTCATAGCCACTCCACTTCCTCAAACTTTTAATGCTTGTTGACTGACTGTAAACGTTTCCAGGATTTTTCAAACTTCTTTGAGAGAACTAGGTACTAATATCGCCCACCCATCATAGTGGAATAAATCAAAAGTCTTATACATAGAACTGTTTCACGATCGATAGCTAAGCTCAATGCAGATGATGGAATATAATAAATACTTGTCAAACTACTTAGGTTACTGTTAAAAAAGGTTAGGTTCAACTCAAAGAACCTAAAGATGAAAAAATGCATTGAGAAATAACCAACATACCTAGCCTTTTGCAATCTAAACGTCACAGACTTATCAAACAAATCGTTAGGATGTGGCACTTTTTCAAAGGACTGAAAATGATAACAAGAAGAATAATTTGATTAAAATATGGCTATCAGCAAATATTCTTAGCAATTATTACAACTTTAATTTTTTTCTATAAAAAATACGCCTAAGGTAGGTAATATGTTTGTCTTTTAAGAATTATATCTTCCGAGTATCTTGAAAGTACTTGCTTTGCAAAAATATTACTGCTGTCAACTTTATTTTAACGAGAATAAATTTTTTTAGGGCGTGATGGGAAAAGATGCGAACTGACTGACTACAGTAAACTCCCTTTTGTTTCATCCTTCTTTTTACGACCGGTCAGACAAGGTTATATGATGAAATTCGAATTTAAAAGACAAGTGAGATCACTGTAAGCATACTCTTCTGTTCTCATAGGATGTTTTCCATACATTTTAGTGATAAAACATAACCTGATATCAATAATGGGTTTTAGCTGGCAGTGGAGTCCAGGTCGCACATTTCGTCCTACTCAGGACTCGTCAACTGGATGTCCCTGCCTCCTAGAGAGTGATATTTTTCCTGCTAGGACTCGAACCAGGGACAAATCGATACAAAGCCAAATCATTGCCCACTGGGTCACTGGGTCAAAATAGCCTCTTATTGTACGAAGACCATAGTATTGTCTTTGATGTTTTAGCTTGCGAATCGCCGTCTTATTCGGTCAAATCAAGGACAGAGTTTCGCAAGCTATGACATCAAAGACTGTATTACGCCCGTTTTACAAAGAGTGGTTATTGTAAATCAGTGACCTAGAGGGTAGTGTTCTGGCATTTGAAGCGATTGGTCCTGGGTTCCAGTCATAGTGGGAAGAGCATCACTCACTAGAAGGCAGGTACACGGGGCTGAAGAGTCCCAAATAAGATGAAACGCATGCCTTGGATTCCACTGCTTACCACTGCGTAGCATCAATAATAAAGTGAAAAATACCAGTAATATCGAGGCAGCCACATAAGAGCCCATATGACAGTAGTAGCTAATCAATTCAGTCCAACGAACAACAGAGATTCACGTGCTAGATCATCGAAAAATAGAACATATCTGTTTGTATGAAATTATGAATTTCTTTACATTTGATTAAAAATCATCTTACCTCACTTATATGATTGTTGGAGATGTGATTCACAGAAATCGGATCAAGCGTATCGACGATACCCATTTGAAATTGTCTTAATAAGGATTGCACAGAAGAGGCAGCATCTCGCGCTTTCTCTTCGATACGATAAACGCTGTGAGCTAAATCTGCATAGTCTGAACGTAGTTTTTCTAAAAGTAAATGAGTTGGATGAGTTCGTGGATCCGTGTTTTTTCGTTGATTGATCCAGTGATTGCTAATTCCAGCAGCACCACTGGATGACCTTCGTTCATGTTCTCTTTCATTGTAATTGTAATAATCTGATGAATACTTCTTTTGATGATGTCCAATTTTAGTTGGTGTATAAACAGGTAAGTGGGAAGTATTTTCTTCATTGATCGGTTTATAGACCTTTGCAGTGTAAATACCCTCCTCCTTCTCCTCTTCCCCACCATAGTGGTGATAATGATTATTTGTAAATGAAGTGCATGGTGATCCTGTAAAACTGTTTGTAGTTTCATGTATTAATGAGGCCTGTTTTTGTTGCTGTATACAAAGACAATATTATGGAGGAATAGTTAGCAAAATGCAAAATGTATGTGAATATTTCAAAAAAACAACTTAATAAATTCAAGCTATCGTAACGAAAGACAAATATTCTAATGTAAATCCCATTCTATATAGTGAATAGTTTCCTTCAGTGACTAAGTAGAATGACACTGAAATGCGCTGAATTCCATAATTCCACGGGCAAAGTAAAAGCATGAAAAGAAAACCAGGTCTTTGAAAGAGAAAGATAGGCATCATTATACAGTTTTGGCATATTTGATTAATCTTGGTGACTACCAGTGGACTCCAGCAAGGCGAATCCAATATTATGAGTATTTGGCAGTATCAAAGCATCTATATATGAGCCCACCTGCCAACTGTAGTCAAGCAGTTCGACCGTGTGTAGCAACGGGTAATTACAAGTATCATAAATGTTGAGATATTTTAACTGGAATACAGCCTGGATGAGTTCTAATTGCTTTTATTTCTCTTTATTAGCATTCCAGACTTTCCAAACACCAACTCTTGTTATCATTAAGTTTCTGATGAAAAGTAAAATGTTCTGTAAGAATACTTAGACCAACAAATAATGGTATCATATCTTGATTTCATTCTTGTCTTTGACTCTCAATTGATCCTTCCCTATACCCGTAAACTGATCTAAACAACAAATCGAAGTAAACAGTGAATAAGCGTCAGGGACCAAGGTTACAAAGATCTCATTTGATTTATATTTACTGCTTTATCAAACGAGTCATCTATCTTTTTGAAAACAATACAAGTAGACACGACACTACTCACATATATGCCGATTTCCTTACATGTAGTTAGCACTAGGGTATTTTATATCACCTTCGTTTTTGCTTTTGCCTACAATATCCCTAAGAAAAGTAAAGGAGATTTCCTTATTTCGTTTCACTTTCCACTATTAATTCTTGTCTCTAATGGCATACACTTGAGGTGCTGGTGCTGATACTAATTCTGTTATTTCTTTGTTTTATCCTTTACTACAGTGTGATAGGAAAGAGAAGTCAGGATTTCACTTCTAACATCTACCAAACGTATAATATCAGAGTGAATCTTCATTGGTAAAACCGCATTTCAAAACAGGACAATCAATTCAGTTTTTTAAAGGGACCAACAAAGAATTAAAGATTTCAAATCTCAAAGATGTTCCATGGAAAAGGAATGATTCTTGCTATTCAGTGGTCCGGTGGATAATACTTTCATACTTTAAGGCGATATGTACCAAATTAAAGTTCTCGTAAGAAGATCATCACTGAGTGGGATGCCGATAATTCGTTTCATGAGTCTAAAGTACGACAAGAAGTGAATCCTCAATATCGCTGTTAGAGACTACGAAACAAATAATCCAAAAAGATCAAAGAATCTTCGGTAGACAGTTAGATTATCCATCAACCTGCCTCTTATCTTAACTAGAATTACTTGAAATAGTCTGAATGTAATAAAATCTTCAATGATATTGTATCTGTGATGTAGTTTTATCAAGTTAGTTTAGGCTTAAATTATTACGAATACCGTTTGAAATTAGTGTTATAACCTACCTTGTAAAAAGAAGCCACCTGAACAATCTGAGGAAGTGTATACACTACTGCAAAAGGATATTTGACCTGTTAATCTTTTACAAGTCATAACTCTCTTCTAATTAATTGCTTTCGAGACAAACAAGGTTACAGGTAAGTTAAATCTACTCATCCTTATATTAACTTACCTTATTCAATAGGCCATTCACCATTGCATGAGCTTTATTCAATGCATGATCTCTATTTTCTTGTATTTTTTGTATGTCATGTAATCTTTGGTGCAATATTTTATTGGCTGTCGTTAAAGCATCGACTCTTGGATCACTGATTGATGAACTGTTCAACTTATGCTTAAACTTCTCTCTGAAAATCGAAACGAAATATGTATGGAACTGATAACTAATGAATACTTTTTATTTGGAATTCACTTTGTATAAACATAATGTATGGGACTCTGGGTATGTTTGAAATAAGATATGAAATATCCAACTGAAAACATCCCGAAGACTTGGCAAAACTTACTTAAGACTGTAAATAAGGGACATTTGATAGTCTTCAGATCATGTTTTAGGGACATTCAGCTGTTCTTCGGATAACGCCAGAGACTGTGATATCATAGTAAAGTGCCAGATACTGAAGTTAGCCCACTAGCTTATTGATAACCTGATCTTTCCATAAACTGAAGGTTGTCGGTAAGATTATGTCACTCCGATGCAGGCAAATAAGACGAAACAGACTAATAACTATCTAGATGATGTAAATTTCAAATGAAAAATGTCGCCAAATAGATCAAGCCTCCAAAGCAACAGAATTACGAAACATAATTTTCAATGTTCGATTAATAGGAGTAAGTGGGAATAAAACGTAATGTTTTTATTCTTTCTATTTGAAACATTGTTCAATAAACCGATGCAAAAAATGCTACACGTTATCAACTACTATGTAGTAGTATATTTTATTGCCGTTAAATTTCAGAAATTTCTATTTGTAAATATTTTATTACGTCTTTAGATGATCTCTATTCAGCTGAAAAGTCACCATTAATTCTGAACATGCTGTCCTACTTGGTTAGTTTGAACAGCAATTAATCTGCTTAGTTATTCTGAGCTGCATGGATTTAACTTCCACCAGTAAATTTAAGCTAAACACAGTTGAATGCCTAAATATTAGATTTTATCATTCAATTCACCAATAAAAAGAAATTAGCGAATTGAACATATTTGAAAGGTGACAGTTATTTGTGAACTGTGAGATAAAAATAAACTATTCACAACATGCAGTAGTTTATATTAAGAGAGTAAGTCCCCATTTGGTTTATTGCTAGTAATAAATGGATATATTTAACACTGAGCTCAGTTGAAATTCAGATCACCTAAAATAAAATTTTCAGTGATTTCGTCTCTGAGGCCACTTAACTAGAGGGATTGCAGTTTTACAAGTCATCAGTGATTCGCTTTGAGCTGAAATCTCCAGCATTCTAGTGAGAAGTCATGACCTGTCTGACAAACGAAGTCGGATGTATAGACAGGTACTCAACGATGGGATTGGATGAAGACCACGCTACATCACAAACTGACAGAAATAAGGAAATACGGACTATTGAATTTCGACCCAGTTGTTTAGCGGTAACGTGCTTCCTGTGGGGCCTGAGTTCGATCGCTGGTGGGATCATGGATGCGCACTCTTGAAGAGTCCTATTCTAGGAAGAAACAGCTGCCCAATGCTCTGTAGTTCTCAAAGGTTCTCCAATTGGTATCAGTCCAGGATGGATAAAAGCTAGAAAACTATAAACAATCTAACAAAATTGTACTTTCCAAAACATACTTTTCAACTGATCCTATTTCTCTTTCAATCGAATGACATCGTTTTCTCAATCTGTCTAGTGATCCAGAAGATATATCTGACTGTCGGTAACACGGAGATTTTGAACGAACCGGACGCAGATTTCTTCGACACGAACTGAAAAGAGTAAAATGTAATCAGAATACCAATAACTGGATTTCATGACGGTTTGATAGCTAGTAACCCATGTGTATCAGGGTAAACTCTAAGTTTGACTTGCAGTTGATAAAACTAACTTTCCTAATGTCGCATTTTCCAAACTCAGCGGCTGAGCATATACTTCACTGCATAATTCCATGCAAGGTATACAACATCAGATTTGTAAGAAGTAAATAAAAGTACTTTATCGCAAGTAGTTAGAAGACTATGGGACAACTGCTGAGTTCTGTGTGATCAGCAATTACCAGAATGTCATCTTCGGTGTATCGGGCTCCATGGTCAGTTAACATTGACCCACTTAACAAAGCGGAAGTCCATAAGGAACTCCAAGTTTTGAAACGCCACAAGGCACTCGACTCAGACAACTTACACTCGACACTTTTAGGGTGGAGGAATGACTCTAGTTGAGGAACTGACTAGACTGTTTGAGGAGATATGGGAGACAGAGTGTTTCATCACGCTGGAATGAAACTGCTATTGTGCTCATCTTTAAAAAGGTTATACGTAATGCATGTGACAACCATCGAGGTATTAGTCTGATACCAGTAGCTTGGAAAATATTGGCTGCTATCATACTTCGCCGACTTTGCAAAACACGTGAGAGAATGATTTGCGAGGAGCAGATTGGGTTTTTCACGTCATGGATCCATTAGTCATGTGGTTACCCTCCTCAGGTTCTTGAACGTCACCAGATGTATTACAGACCAACGGTTATTGTTTTTCTTAACATCAGGGCTGCCTTCGATTCGTTGGACAGAGCTGTACTTTGGAACTGTCAATTAGAGAGGGGTGTATCTCACAAATTTATTAACTTCCTGAAAGCCTTATGTAATAACACCTTAAATAAAGTGAGATGCTTTACTTCTGTGAAATCTGGCCCCTTCAATCTGAGGATATGCAACAAATCTGTTCGATCATCGTTGTCCCTGCAGGATTGCTCGTATCCGGAGGTAACACCATGCAAGTAATTCTGAGGTGCGACAGCGTGTGTTTGGGCATGACGGATATCGTCGTTCAGTAAGTAAAGTCATCCTAAAACACCGGCTTCGTTGGCTTGGACACGTGTTACTCATGTCGCCTCAACGGCTTTCATGCAATTCATTGTTTGGTAGCCCTGGAACTGGATAAAAGAAGCGGAGGACTGTTTAGTGTGTAATGTAGTGTCATGGGATGAAGGATAGTTGTATCGGGTTAGCGTCTGTTAGTTCGTCAAGACTACCTGGATGGGGTCCGACAGATCACGTAACTCAGCGGCTTGAGATGTTATCAGATATGTTTCAGAATGGGAGCCAGTGGTGGTCATGCTGTAGCTTCCTTCTATATTCTGTTTTTGAAAGTAATCAATGTATTGTTTTGATTGTATCTTACTGGACTGGACTTCTAATCATTCTATTCTTATTGTGTTTTATTTCTATCCACTTATCGTCGGTGTATGTTCTCACAGTATTGTTATGTTACTTTGTAGGACTCATTTCTTGGTGCCCTTGCTGTACTACGTTTGTGTTCTAATAATAATAACAACAATAAGAAGAAGAAATAGGGATAGTAGTAGTAGTAAAACGCTTCATTTATTAGGAATTGGTGTTGGACCATTTGTTTTGCATGTGTTAAGTGTCGATTCGATAAATAGAGTTTCAGATATCAGCTTTTCATTATTTGTTCAAGTCATCTTTTAAGATTGTCAGTGTCCTGTTTTATTGCATGACTGTATGTGATAACGTGCATGTCTATGGTTGAGCTCGTTTTACCAGATTTACTGTCTTAAAGTCTACCATTCTATATTCAGTTGATTTTCTATGTTCTGCTAACCTAATTGACCTCAGCCTGCTAGTTTGACCTTATAGTTATTACATGTAATTTCCTAGACCAAATTAATTTTTTCCGTATGTTTGATACGATCTTTTAACCGACAAAGTTAGTCTCAAAGTGAGTTAGTCAGCATAAGTGCCATCATAACCCTGAATGTTTGGAGAATCCTATATGAAGCATCGGATATCATTTCTTCATGGTGTTCAACTATGAAGGCTTTAAATTCTTTTCCCATTGTTGTATTATCTACTCTTTTTGTGGTTCATTTGGATTTCTTCACAGTATTTTCCTACTACTCCTTATACGTTTCTGGATAAATTCATGGTAACGGTTGTTGAAGATAATACATTCTTCATACATACATAAGTTGGTTACTAGAGAGTAACCAGTTCTATGTTGCTTAGGCCTGAGTGCTGACCGAATTCCATCTAACATTTTGCAGTATGGTCACCAAGCTAGGATACTCATCAATGTGGTGCATTCTGTTAGATGTTAGTTGGACAGAGACAACCAACCGGAATGGGTTTCGCCTTACTAATTACACTTCATGTCCTGTTATTTAGGCATTTCACGAGCCTTACCTAAAATGATATCAGATAAAATGATCTGCAGTCTAAGTATCGACTAGAGTGAGAAATCTTCTGTCAGATACTAGCATCTAATCCTCATTCTTGGCTTCGGATAACCGTAGATTCTAGCAAGATAAGAAAACTAGAAAAAAGAGCTCGAATATAGGTATGCATCCTGTCACATATAATCATGAAATCGGTGCGGCATAAAGACAAGTTAAAAAACGACTTAAGCAGATGGAGGGAGAAACAGTTAGTTAAAGCTTTATTTATCAAAAAGCACCTGATATATGCTACAGAAAGGACATTACACTGGTTCCCGATAAGTGGAATATTTTAGCACCAATTAAATCCAAGAGTAAAAAACTTTAGAACCATGATTGCCTGGATATAATTATGAATAATAATTTGTGCTCAAAACGTCATCAGAAAACAATACTGTTTCACTATATGATACGGGTGACAGACGAAATATAATGGAATCAGATGGAAAAGGTTTGCTTCTTAACCCAATATTAATACTTCACAGCAAACCTCAGTGTAGTGCACTATCATTTCATATAGCTCAGTGAGTATATCACAAATTTTATTGATGTATCTCGATTACAGTATACAACTTGATAACTAGCTTGGCTTTTCTCCAGAGATTAATTCGTATGCATTATAGATATATTAGTTCTGAGTATTCCCTACTTATATCATGGTCGAATGCGATTATTTCTGAGATATTTTGACGAGAACATTCCTTTATTTTTATTTTCCAGCATGATAGTGACGTAAAAATGGATAGATTTGAGACAATCTAAAGCGCGCAAACATCGTACTACTCAACACAGTCAATGTATAATCATTTTGAGTAACAGTCAGACACATATGTAAGCCACATTTAGTATCTCAAAAGATAAGTGGTACCTTGAAATAAGTTTGCTCATTTTGCATAATCAACATGTTTGTTTGAAAGTAAAACCAAAATAAAAGAACCACTGTCTCCAAGTAGTATTCTCTGAACTGTAAATAGACAATGAAGATCTCCATAAGCTGGTCACATTCCAGTTACCTTTGTTTCTTAAAGCCTACTAACCACTACATATTCATATAGTCATGCTTCACATTCTAAGAAGCTTCAAACTGTCAGTTTCACGAAATTCTAAGCAGTTTTACCACTGATGCTGAAATTATGCTTGAAGTCATGCACTCGGAACGTGTATTTAATATCACCTCAATAACTTCAAGGTATACAATGATTTTTATTGAAATTCTGGTAATTTTAATTGTCCACTTATATAATTTTTTAAATTCTTCCTGAGTGTGGTAAATTTAAAAGGCCGGGATTATGTGGTAAAACTTGGAAAAACAAAAGTTAAAATTATAAACTGAAAACTCCTAATTTTGTAATTTGCTTGGTTGTAACTAGTGGTGGAATTCAGGATGCCCATTTTGTCGTACTTCAAACTTGTTAGTTGAATGTACTTGATCCCCAGTGAGTGGTGTGGTTCCCACTGGGAAATGAACTCACCACTAAGCAAATTATAACGTAATAATCGTACAATATTAAGGCATTCACATAAGAGCTTATTTACCAGTAAAAAGATTGATTAATTCTATCTAGAGTAACAGTGGGAAATTACAATTATCAATAAATAATGGGAACTGGATTCTCGATCTGAAGTACGTATCAACGAGAATCTAACACTCAGTCTATCACCATAAAATAAGGATATATAAGTGATACACGGTAAATAAATGAAAGTGACTTACTGAAGTGCCTTATTGTCTAGTTCACTGCCTTCTAAGTTAGCTTCATATTGAAGATTGGATGAATGATACGGTTTATGCAAATTATTTGCATATAATGGAGAACGGTGTGTTGGTAAGTCATTATTTCTTATTTCTACCTGTAATGAACAATTTTGACTTGTATATTAGATCGATTAAAATGGCTAGGAACACATTCATCGTGAGATTAAAACGAGTGAAAAAATTTGAAGCACAAAGCCTTATAGTTCATGTACCTGAAGGGAATAAAGCTGTCAGCACTCATTATTGTGTTTGAGAATCTGATTTATCTTTTAGTTTATAATATGGATACTTACACATTGTCAGTGCAGACAGTGCGTTCAGACAGTACTTGAGTGTGAAGAAGGCAAAAGAAACTAAAGCCAAACTCTACTCAAGATTTGATATATGGAAGTATCTGGTTTCATTTTAATGCTGTTAAAATGAACTGTATTCATAATTTAGTGTTACTAAAGGTGAATCCTTATTCATTAGGCAGTCCAGTTCATACAGAGGACCATTTTGAAATCAATACTGAAATAGGGAAACTCTCTGAAATAATGTTATCCAGTTAACTAGAGTGTAACAAGGTGGAATGCATGAATCGCATAGATAACTGTCAACTATAAACACCATCTGTTAATATATATTTAGTGACAACAAAAGAAATGAATGTTCCGTCAAATTAGCAAAGGAACTTCTAGTGAAGATGAAATGACTTCTTCCATAGAAATGAGGGAATTTTAACATACAAAAGGCATTGAAATATCAACAAATACACGAAACAGTCTAGCTTTCTGACATTCAGCAGCAGAACATCAAAAAGAGTCTTGAGAATTACCAATGCTGTGCTTCTAACTGAATAATAGCGTACCACAATAGTTAAATGGAATCCAGAACTATATCAAGAAGGCTGACGATTTACTTGACAAAAACAGTAGACAGTCAGTTGTGAATGACTTACTCATAAGTTTGATAATTAGGTAATTGAGAGCTTAGAAAAGCAAACCAGGGTATAGTGAACAACAAAATAACACTAACAGCAAATTAAATCCACAGTATCTGTTTTTCTTCAAGGTGATCTTGTGGGATTCTAAGATAATTCTATAAAAATCTATAAAAATTTCTTTAGGATCGATATAATTCGAATAGCATATAGGACTAGACAATCCAATCATTGTACACAATCCTTTCCTAAAGTAAGTCAGCCACGGCTCAAATAGTTCAGTGATAACATCTCTGACCGCGGTACTGGGTGACACGGATTCAAATCTCAAGTGAAACATTAGTTCCATGAAGGTTGCAGAAACACCATGCTAATGAGTGCCAACAAACACGAAACCTAGGTCAAGGACTGCTTGGCGATTACCTTTGACCAACTAACATAAACGCACTCACACAGATAACGATGAATCGGAGATATACTTTACTTTTTCAATGTTTTGCAGACCAGTTGGACCAAAATTATCAAGGCGCGTTACGTTGAGTAAGAAATATACGACAGCAAGGAACTGCATAGATTTCTAATATATGCTGTCATATTTACTGTGGTGAATAGAAGAATCAGTCTTTTGCAGAGATGTGAAGAAGAGAGTGAATACCCGAAATCATTCTGGAAATAACTTCACGAAAATCATATTCAACTGCAACAACCGATCTTTCAAACAGAATACATTAAATATAACTGATGAAACCAATTCTTGTTTATCTGAAACAGAACTTATTCTTTCGTGAGACGTACATGTTGTATTTCACTCGTCAAAAACAGTGTGTGAATTGTATAGGGGTTTCGAAGAGGCGATCAGATGATGCTTATCTCTGCCTTAAGATAACAAATATCAGATCTCATTTTCCACAGAGTAAGGGAAAATGTATGTTTAACTGCCACGCTATACCCATGCATTCCATACAAATGTAAGCCTAGTCTTTAGGTTAGAAATCCTGTGATATCTCAATAATTATTAATGAAATTGATATGAAAATCAAATGAAGGATTTCTTCCTAGCCTCAGATACAAGTTTTGAACAATTCAAACCAACTGTTATAAATTTCTGCTATCATTACATGATTACCAAACCTCATGTTAAATATTTTCAAAGGAACATAAAAAGCAATTATTGGGTATTTTGAGAAAAACGTGTTACTAATCTATCCTGATAAGGGTGCTAGTGTAGTCATTATGGATGTATTGGATTCTACCACGAAAATGTCACTTCTCTTGTCAAAAACAAAGCGAATTTATAAAAAAAAAGCAACTCAGAAGTGATACAATAGAACAAGCTGGACAGAAGCGTATTCACACTTTAAGAAAAACTATGAATCAACCGATTATTAGCTCTGATTTGCTCAAAATTACCGCCTATCTGGTTCTGTCATACAACACTTATGTTGTCTCGAGAAGTGGTACACTGAAAATCTTTGCTACATCTATTTTTGAAAATGAATAGCAAACTCCCCTATGCTTCTGCTCAATAGCTCACTAGATCCAATCAGCCAGTTGATAACTACCTTAGTAAATAGGGTCTGTTAGATTCATTCAACTTTATCAGTTCAATAAAGGATATCAATGTATTTGATAAGCATATGATTTCTCTAGACCTTAGTTTGCTTCTCAGCAATGTACCACTCATAGAAATCGTCTATTTCTGAGAAGACTCAATAGTAATATTATATGACTGTTTGAATCTTTCCCTTGTCTTCTGGAAATTTCTTTCTATCTTAAATATTGGTTATGAAAAAAGTCACTGATGACTAGATGAACGTGAATGCCAGCCACTGGACAGTATCCAGAAGAAAACTCAGAGCTTCTCCACCTACAGATTCTGATCAAGTCTTATGGCAAAATTACTTAAATGAACTATGAATCTGTCTTCCCAAGTTAACAAACTGTGTGGTACTGAGAGTTTTCGGTATTCATATTGCATCAGTATCCTCTACACTAAACTAATTCTTTACTTCATAGTTATCTGCATGGTCTGACAATGCTTGGATACAAAACAGAATGTGTAAAACCGCTGATTAACTTACAGGACTAAGTGTTGGTTGACAAGTTGTGTAGCCTTGATGGTAATCTGGTTTATCATCAAGATCCAAAAAATAGCTGATTGGGGAATGAATTGATCGATCACAATTTTGACGTCCGTTATGATTACTTTCATTTCTGACTGCAGGTTGAGCAATGCAGGCCCTCTGATTATTTGGACTTTGTAGTCTTGATTGATGATGATAATGGCAACTGTGGTGGATGTTGTGGCTGCTGCCTCTGTTACCGGTGGTATTATACTCATTCCTATCATTGCTTTTATTTCTTACTTTTAGAGAACTATGAGTCCGATTACTTGAGAGTGATGACACTTTTCCCAATGGTAACTAAAAGAAGATCGAAAGAGTGACAGTAAGAATATAGATTTCCATTAGTAAGAGCGAAAGAATGCTTTCGGAAGTTATATGATCCATCATCAACAAGACTTTTTGTATTACTAGTGAAATAATACACAAGGTTTACCAATCGTGTTAGTCTAAAAACTTTCAATAGACAGAGATAACACCTTAGAAATTAATGAAATTGTAATCCTTGGCAAACCTTTTGTCAAATATGAGACTATGAAACCGAGAATGTTCCAAAAAACGTTGTCATCATGGATAAAAAGTAAGTAGAGGGCCACTAAAAATTAAAAAAGGCCGAATAGGTGTTTACTAGTAGTGTGTACCCACAACCTCATAAATGTCAGATCTAACGATAAGCAAGTTCCTGTTCAGTCATTGAGTTGCAACGCAATTGTCTAGGTTCAGCGATTTGTGGTAATTCACCATACAGAACGATCAGTATCAGGGATGAGTATCTCTCCTTAGATTCGAATCAGCTGACTGTGCAGGTGAATAGTCGAAGGCTGGGCTTGGTCATATATAAACTTGTGAGTGAATATTGTTAAAAGGTACCAAACCATGACAAAACAGCTTTCCAGTGCTTTTTGGTTCCCAGTGGTACGATCTATCATGAAAATGATATTGAAATTAATCCCATATTGTAAACTTCAGCAATCGAATAATATTTAATTTTAGTGTTCCCACTTGGTTTGCGATCTGACAGAAGTCACTACCAACATCGGAAATACTGAATGTATATAGTTTTGCATTTAGAAGAATGGATAGCTGTCACTTACGAATACACGGAACGATGATTGCAAAGTCGTAAATGAAAAGGAAAAATTGTTTTCTAGATTGTAGAGCCAAAAACCATCAAGGTACTACTCACTACATCAACCACTCAAATACTTCATGTAGGTTCTTGATCCAATCTAACTTTTTTAGTTAATTTTCTGTAAACATTATCAACTAACAAGAGATGCTACTACTGAACAACTTGAGTAGTTAGAAACCAACTCGGCTGATCCGTAGTATTTCGTTAGCCAGATTCCAGGGATCTAATCACCTCGTAGCCGTTTCTCTCTTTTCGGGTCAAGCTCATCAAACATATGCGCGGGAAAATACTACAGATCAGCCTGAGTACTTTCTAACTACTCAATTTGTTCAGTAGTAGTATCTTTCACTACTTCATCAAAGTGTTGTGTCAGGTTCGCAGTGGAAACCTGTTGCCACAACAAATGAGGATTTGAAGGAACTACTCAGCTGAGAGAAATGTCAATGCAGACCGTGGAATTTGTAAAACATTTGCAAACTGATCATCCTATTCTGTTAACATTCCTCATCTCAGAGCCTTCCTATTTCTCTTTCAAGTTTCACATTACGCAGCCAGTTCGTTTATACGTTGTTTTATTCATCCACTATATCACTGGAAGTTCATACTAACTTCTGACAAATTTCCTTATTTCACGTGTGTTTTGGATTAAATAAAAAACTTATCTTTTAGCATTAGTTAAAATCAGCTAAAGCCTGGCTATTTAATGTGGCTATAACATGTTTTTCCTTCAGTTTATTTCTTCCTCTCACTTATTATATTTAAAATTTCCATAATCAAATATCGTGTAGCATTGTGGTGAATACTACTAACAAAAATGTACATCAGTAATGAATCGAACAACACCATGAAACATGAGAAGTCATAATAGTCAGCCTATGGAGATTTGAAGTAATGGAGAAAGAGGTGACAATTACCAATAGAAACCTATGGAGGAAAAACATTACACACTGGGATGCTGGAAGGCGAAGATGTGTGCACATGTGACTTCATTGTACGGTTAAATATCTTTAATGATCGTAATTTTCCAATACTAAATTTTTAACGTTGAGCTGGACTCCGTTCCAGTATAATCACTGGAGGATTAAATTTCTCGGAAGTGCACAAGAAGAACGAGGATTTTTATTGTAGTTCTCATGTTCACACAGTTCAATGGTGCCAAGTAGTTCAAAATAGTTCAGTGAAAGGCAGTCACACGACATAAAATAGCTATGATTACAGCAGCATGGTCACAGTAAAATAAACATTGCGAAATTTAAAAAAGGTAACCAATATGATCGTAATATCCGTCATAGTAGCAAAGAACAGGAATATGCAGTGTAAACATTATGAATCTCACGATTCTAAAGGTCATTCTGATAATCACTGATTTACCCGCCTAGATTCTAGTAATATATGAGAAAGGTGACTATTTATTTCAATAGTAGATAGGCTATCCTTAAGGCTCATTTATACTCTACTTGAGTAAAATGTATCTTCTGGACAAAGTGGTTTGTCTAGCCCATTGACTACGTATATTGAATCACTGATTGACTTTAAAGTCCATTTTAGTAACTAGTGCAGTAACCAACTAGGTTAAGCTTTTAAAAATCAAAAACCACCTCCAGGTGAGATATGAGGACTTATTGATTATTTCAGAGGTTGCAAGAGTGGTCTGTAGAGTCACTCCATTCATCGCATTACGTCTACTTTTGGCCTTTCAAAATAACTGCGTTAATGTACTCAAACGCAATATTAAGCTACTGAAACACATCAAAAAAAATATGATCGTTCTCTACAAACATGTCACAAAAAGAAGACAGGATTATTATTCAATCTAACCAAAAGGCCTGTTTGTAAGGCAATGATACCATTCATTCCAAAACAATTACAAAAAAGCTGTAGGATTGAAATGTTGCATAAAAAAATACTCTTTTCAACTAAATATTCTTTTGCAGACTAGTAGGAAAATTTGGTCATTGGTTTATGCAATGTCGGCTAATGAGATTGTACAATTTTAATTAATCAGGTGGCTGGAAAGTAATTTACACACGCACAATCACTCAATGTTCAGTATTAACTGAAGTAGGTTTAGGCTAGAAAAAGAACAAAGGTGGTAAAACTAAATTATTCAGTCAGTCGATGAAGTTTCTCTGATAGCTTCCTATGACACGTTTTCTTCTTTCTCTATCTTTCATTTTAGCGTACTGTATCTTCATTTGCTGAAGTGAGATATTAAAGCTGCATCGTTATGCAGTAAAGTCGAGTTTCATATCGACAATGACTTACTGAGTGACTTCAATAATTTCACAAGATTTCTTGTGTGCATTTAACATTGATCAGTTTCAGATATTTAAAAGATAGTGAAAGTCGGGTTTCTTATGGAACTTTAGACCTTGAGGTTCAGTAGTCCAGTGACTTGACTACTAAATGTTAAATTGTATACACCCTAATCTCAACAACCTTTAACTTATAAAGTTATGTTTTAATAAGGCCTACATATCATGTGAGAGAAATATTAGAAAATGCTGTGTGATATCTTCTTCGGCCTACATCATTTTGAGCAAAAGTATTAAGAAAATGGTAGTAAATCAATAGAAACCTGATTTATTCATGTTGACAGGTCATCATAACAATACTACAGACGAAAAACAACATATTATGACCAACCATAGAGATTCATCGTTTATTGTAATGAGAAAGGACAAAACTGATGTTCGCCTACAAAACAAATCCTGTCAAATATCGAAAACAGGCTAAATCAATATGCATCGGTTGTTGACATCAGTGGTTATGTTCACCGGTGTAACCATTTGTCCACCCGATGTAATATGACGGTAAAAATTGTTTTAAGCAGACCAAAGAGGTAAATTTATTACATGAGACATAGTATGAATATTAAAAGCTTACTAACTGATTGTTACTTGACAGTAATAACACACGTACTTATCACGCGAATTTATATGGAGAAGTAACAAAGAGTTGAAGGTTGGGGAAATGAATATAGGTCAGATGAGAATGTACTGAAGGTGAAAATAAAATTGAAGATCTATAAAAAAAAAATGCGAGCGTACGCTAACCATCACTTTAAATTTGAATTTATCATGGAGGGCCTAATGTGATGAAATGTTGTTTTTGGTCACATACTGAGGTGACTTAAACCTCTGAATGCCTAATGACCAAAATAAACTTTAAGATATATCCCTCACAGATTTTACAGTTTGGCTTAAATGATTTATCTACATTCATTTTATGCCCCATTTCATTAATATGCTTAGAGATTGGGTAGCTAGGACGTTTGTTTCTAGTAATAATCGTGTCCGGCGACACAATTTGTTCCTGAAACCACTTTGAAATATGTTCTTTGGCCCTTACTTTCAATGACTGATGATTTCGTCTCGTCATATACATGTGTGACCACGTGTACACTTAAAGTGGCAAATACAATAATATTTGACTTAACTTTTCACCGATTCCTAGGGCGTCGATGGGTACATAGGCTTCGAATCTTTAACCATCCGCACCTTCGCTGTGGAATATGTGTGAATGTATACATATTCATTGAATTCTAGGAAATAGTCACCTTACTAATGCTTGTTCATATCGAACCGGACACAAACTATAACAATTTGGATAATGTCCAGTGGTAGTTGGCTTTCTGTAGATAGATCGTTTTACTGATCCATCTTCAAATTCGTCTCAAAACTCCTAAGGGCTAGATGGTGTCACCAGATTCCGTGAGTAATTTAAACAAACCCAGAAATCTTTTCACATCTTTCACTTGCTTAGTGAACTAAGTTCGAGATGTTATGCATGAACACCAGCTCTTAAATTAATAGGAGCCATTTATATTACTGATTCGGCTGGGAACATTCCTGACAGTAAATACTTTCAGCATAATAAATTACTCAAAGTTTTCCTTGAAACAGACCCTCAAGACCTCAGTTGCTATGGTTACCTATAAACGCCTCAATCAGCAGTAATACATTGATAAAATTACATCTACATGAAAGCAGAGTTCTATTGACTGACCCAATAGGATAAACAGATGCTTTTGAATTGTTTCAGAGTCAAACCTCGAACAAGCGTACAACATGTAATTATGTCTTGAATCTTGAATTTTTGGTTCTTCACACTTCTAGATTCTCTAGTTCACATCTACGTGAATTAGGACTACACTCTGAAGAGGACGATTACACAGTGTAAACAATGTACAAACTGAATTAAATCAGTTCATGCTGAACCAAAACCTCATTGATTGGCACAATAATATTCGCTGTATACGACAAATGCATTCTAGTGAGTGAAGCATCCCTAATGACTGCGGAAGGCTTGAATTAGTTACTGACTAGTATATATCGACAATTTTAAACTTTCATGTGATGAAAGGTGAGATAAATTTACTGCGGATAAAAACATGGACATTATTACCTTTTGTTTTAAAGAGGAACGTCTACAACTGGATCGATTATCTAATCTATGCTGATCCGAATACATTTGATTGGAAGCATTATCTTCAGATTGACCTCCGTTCAGCTTCCCTTTTCTTTCAGTGTACATTAACTTTGGCGGTAATTTATCTTTGTTTCGTGAACAAATTAGATTTTGACTCTGACTTCTATCTAAATTTTGACTAGATAGCCCATTTTCTGTAAGACGGTTATCGACATCTTTACATCCGGTCACTGACTGGCATCTACCTGATCTTGGTCTGAAATCCTTACGTTTTATCTGACTACTGCGTTTCCCTGAATGACGTGTAAAGAACTTTTGATCATTATTTCCAGGGAGGTTCACAAAATCTTCACTGTCATCAACTCCATCCTTGTCGTCATCATCTTCAGCATCTGAAATGAGAGTAGCATTGTGTAGATCATTCAATTCATGATCTTTGATTGTTTGCCGTATTGAATCAAGGCTAGAATTGAATCTTTTATTAGTTAATGAATTCACGCACAGATTGATCATTGAACAGTGTTTTGATGGACTCTTAGATTTTTTGCAGTGGCCACTATTTGATTCAACACACTGATAGCAGTTAATTTTATTTTGACCACTTTTCGAATTTGTCATATCTATATTGAGGTCTAACTTTAATCCTGTAGACCCATGGGATGACTTTTTCTCGATAAATTTAGCTTCTTTTAGGTTTGATTCATTCGGAACAGCATACGATTTCATTTGGTATTTCATTGCTTGTCTTTCATTTGGTTGCACTTCAGAGGGAATTGTTTGAATTTCTATTGTTCTTAACTGTTTTTTGGTTTTCTTTGGTGCTTTTGTAAAACATGCATTATCGTGAGTGAAAGATGTTGCATGTTTAGCATTAGTTCGGTTATCCTGATATATATTTCCATAATGTTTAGATGATGTTAATGAATTGATGGGACATTTCTGTCCTTGAATGTTTGGATCTTCATCATCATATAGATTGATAGATGTTGGTGTATCAAGTTTATTTCTGTTATTATCAGATAAAGGCTGTAAATCAAATAAGTTGACATCAGAATCATTTGAAAGTGTATCAGACCTTGAAGATAGTGGAATTTGTGGACAATCTATTGGTGTTGGTGTAACAGCATCAGGACTGTTGGGGAATTCAGTTTTAAATGTACACGAATTTATTTCCGTATCTGAAGTATCATCAATTGTTTCACTTTCAGTTTCTAATGTTTTCGGTTCAGTTGTCTCAGGTGAAGAGATTGGCTCCAAAACTGGTTTTAAATGATAAATAATTGGTGAAAATTGAGATTTCGATTTTTGTTTCATTGTCAGTGTCTTCTGTGCACCGAAGACTTTACCCCCCACACACACACACACCTTACTTATGCATTAAATAGGAGACGGTAAAATCCTCACTTGTTTCCTGGCATATATATAATGACAAAGTACCAAAGTTTATTGAAGTATCAAATATCACACAATGCCTTATGTGTAATTGGTTCGATTTTAGTTCAATAACAACCTGATTTCAGTTTATTGTGCAATGGAAGAGTTAACCAATTAGATTTACTTTAATTTCAACACTAATTCAAAATAAAATTAATGACTAAATCAATTTATACTTGAAAATACAACCACAAGCCGGTTTACACGCATAATTATTGGTGACAATAATAGTGTTTCAGAGTGAACAGTTATCATCAGGAAGGGTCAGTTCACAGGTGATATTAGGACCAAGACGATGAAGAACTAATAACAATTCTCTAAAAAGTCTTATCACATCAGGTATCTGCTAAGACCAAAATTTCAACTTGTACATTTTATTGTCACAGATTTGATATCGAAAATAAAAAAAGTTATGTCTAAGGTGTATTTTGAGGTTAGTGAGGATTTTATTTTTAAGGCCGTATTCAACACGGACTGACATCATTTGGAGAATCATTGAAAAACTGGGAGTACTAGATAGCTGTTTTATCCCAGTATGATACTCCTCGGTAATATGCACCCACCACCCAACTAGGGATCTAACTCACGATTTTCACGTCTCACGGCGAACGCGCTAACCAATCACCCACTCGACTAGAGTTCAATGGTACACAGTTTCCCACTTCTGTCAATTCGCGATGTAGGACAACTGTCACCCAGGGTCTTCAGTTGGCATTCACTTCATTTTCAATCGTTTGACCTCATCTTCATTCAGTCTATGTATAATACTAAGCAAATCTGTCGTTTTACTGAGAAGTTTTCATTTAACAGTAAGAAAAAATTGTAATAAATAGAAAAGTAGAACATATCGTGAATTATTGAAATTGAGGAGCACAATGAGTATCACTAAAAAGCTTGTTAGGATACTGATCAGTGAGGTTTACTCAATTTAAACACAAGAGATACAGTGGTTGAATAAATATTTCTGCCTGTAGTTATCTCTCTGACTGCAAGCAATGTACATTCTAGTGCCAAAAATACATATATTTCCCTGGAGTTCCAGTTACTCAGTGTCAGTTATTGCCAACAGAGAGGCAGCTTTTTGACGACTGTCTTTAGGTACGTAACATCGAAATAATGTCGGTTGATGACGAGATAGTCAGTCTACCGGGAGCACTGCAAAATTTGATCGGATGGATTCTATTCATCTTAGTTAGTAGACAGCATGAAGTTGGTGATGATTTGCTGACCGATTGCTACGAAATGCATAATTTTATACTGAGATGAGCTTTCATGAAATAGAAATATTGGGAACTTTGGTTGGCAATTAACATAAGTTTCTTGTGATTAAGCAGCTGTAATACTGTTGATGATTACTTCAATGAATTAAAACTAATGAAAACACTAGCTGTGGTTATTCGACGCAGTTAAAAAAAAATGTATCCCATTTTCGGTAGCGTGGTTGGTTTTCCCAGTGAAATTATATAACTAATAATCAGGTGATCAGGATGAGTGAATCGTTCTAGTGAAATTAAATTAGTAGGAATCGACTTCAACAAGACACACTTCTTGAAGTCTTCAAAAAAGATAAACAGCAATTGCACCGATGCCTTTGTAATCTGTAGTGAATTGACTACGTCTAAAATCAGTCATTCCTATGGAGAGTCTACTTTTACAGACAGTCGGGTAAAGAATTAGAAAAGTACTTTAAATAGTATTGTCCATTCCTAAATTCAGATACATTCACGACAAACAAGATGATTCAATGTTGAAATGATAGGTCTCACTTTTGAGACAAATTTTATTTCCTTATTATAAATCGCAAAAACACTAAGTAGGAAATATAGACCATTGGATTCCGACTCAGTGGCTCAGTCGCATCGTGCTAGCCGTGGAACCTGATGGTCTTGGGTTTGACTAGTGGCTGAGTGATGGATGCCCACGGCCGAAGAGTCCTACACTGGAGTGAAACAGCTGACCCATGCCACCAGGTTTCCAGTTCTTCTCCAATTGTCAGTCCATGATGAATACCAACCCAAAAATCATCTTTGCTGTTGACACCACACTTAGGTAGTCGAGAAACCATTCAGTCGTGAGGACCGTGGAATTTGTGAATAATTTGGGAGTTGATCATTTTGTTTAATGTATACCTTTTCATCTAAGCCAGCTAGTTAGCTTCAACTGATTTGAATAATTCAGATCTATGATCCGAATTTGTTCAGATATACCATTGTAGAGCTCCATCCCAAACGAGAGGAACGAACGTCCAGTGTTTAGCTCATTGTGGTCTGGCTAGAGGAATCAATTAGCCAGCGTGAATGTTTTTGAACTACTCATGTGATTCAACAATATGTGCTTCATGAGTTGTGTTGTTTTTATTTAAAACTAGTCATCTGGATTTATTTGCACTCAAGCTAGATACGATTGTCTCAGTTTAAAACCTAAACAATTGGAGATCCGCCTGCTGAGTCATGGCTTCTAATCTTGGGTCTAAGTGACTTGATTGTTACTACAACTTGCAGTCTACTACCGTCATTTCATTTCACTACATCTGACGTTTGACATAAAAATGGGACAAAAACCATGTATAAAATTCTACAACCGATGGCGAGAAATGTCAGGAATTTTCTGCTTGATTAACAATTACACGAGATTCAGTCAGACTATTCAATGAGAATACTAGATATACGAAGGTGTAAATATGAAGTGAATAGGAAGAGTGAGATGAAAGCAGCTGTTTGATATACATTTTCAACATACACATTTGTATCGCTAAGCCTTCAGTGATGCAAAGTAGGCCTTTTCTTACATCTTTACGAAGCTAATGCTCAAATCTGGAATATTTAAGAGAGTTAGAACTTTCAAGGTTAGTTTTCATAAGAACTGAATCAGAATCTAAAGCGCTATCTTGGCCATCAAACTTCTGTCTGTTTGGAGGAAGAAAATCTTTGTTGCACTGATTAACAACTCAGTAAATGAGGTCTTAGAGTGTAGGTTTATGAAAACCGTGGAAAATAACATCTTTATAGCTGCCCTGAGGATTTCCAGTACTATATTTTAAACGATTAATCGATGAAATTTTGAGGGGGTTGTGGAGATTTGGAAATATTTCAAGTTGTTATTCATCGATGCTCGAATAAGACAGTGATGCTAATAACCATAATTACCTCCATACATATAAGTTCACCTACACCTTTGGAGTCATTAATATAAGTCCTGCTTAGAGACAGTGTAAAGTATTCACACCAAGACATTTCAATGATGGTCGGTAAGAGTGAGTGCCGATTAATGGATAACATCAAATTAGGAATAAATATACACTATTTCATACTCAGTTTTTCCATAAATCATTTGATTAGTAACCAATACAACGGGATTCATAGGTAGAACCATTTATTAACTAACTAGTTAACTGATGGTAACCAATGCATGAGTAAGATCTTGCATGCTCAGTGTTTATTCAAGTTTTTTGATCAGCTCCACAGTAGGTTCAATATACACAGCCCTATCCTATACTGAAATAATTATGACCTAAGTAGCTTATTGATAAAGTTTGTAATTTCAGACTCATGTCCCCGAGAGATGAGTTCCTTTAAGGTTATAGGTAGATCTTACTGATGAGTACCAAGAAGCACGAAACGTAACTCTCTGTCTCATCGCCAGCTGCCTTCTAACATCAGATGTTACAACCAGTTACGTAGTTATTATTTTCTAGTTGGAAGACAATATAATACTCGGTGTCACAAATTGAATTCAGTGTTCAAAGTACAAATTTATTATCGTATTACATTGCAATTACAAGATGTTTTTGTGCATGATAACCCGCTTTCATGCCTATAGGTGTATTCTTAAGATGATGTGTTTCAGGTGCATAAATACGATCTGAAGTAAGCTTGATTAATTGCATGTGATATAACCAGATCACCTTTTAACTTGTAATACGATACATACACGTATATTTTATTTCAACATTACACAGGAAGTTTGATGCTCATAATGAATGATGATGGTCAGTAGTGGAATCCAGGACGCACGTTTCATCCTATTTCGCACTTGTCAACTGAATTTACTTGCTTCCCAGTGAGTAATACTGTTCTCACCTGGTCTCGAACCCAGGACCGAATGCTTCAAACCCCAGAGCGGAATCCACTAGGCCACTGAGTCGTGACAGCCACTATATGAGCGACGGGATAAAGCTGGAAATATTGTGAATATCGAGGTATCTGTACAAGAACTTATATACCAAGAGTAGCCGGTTGATTAGGTCTAATCAACGGCCGGAAATTACAAACCATGAAGTGCTAAAAATATTCTTCTTCATACTACTGAATAGTTTTTACAAGTTATGCTATGTAATAATAATATGGTTAAGTAGTTGAAAGTAGTCGAAAAGACACTATGAGCTCTCACTTCATACTTTTTAGCATTTCCAGTTGGATACAAAACTTAGGTCAATGGATTTTAGTGACTGCTGCCTTCAGTTACCTCAAATGTAACGAAACACACAAGGATGTTGAGTCGTTTAGCAAACCATGTCAGTACTCAAAAACACATAGCATGACTATTTACCCGCTGATCACTGAACTATGTAGATCGTTGTGTCGTATTAGTCAAAATACACCAAAATTGCTTCTAGGCTGACGAATCAGGGACTTCTAGTGGTTGTAACCACAAATCGGTAATGATAAAAGAGACTGAAGAAATAATGCACAGCCTTTAACGTGTCAAAATGACATTAATTTTCTAAGCTCAGTGGTGACAAACTGCCGATAGTAAGCGAAGTTCTGATAAAACCCTCTGAGACATGCTTAGTATAGCAGAATGATCCTAATTTAATAGGACTACTGGCTTATAAATTATTGGTTCAGCGCTGTACTGACTAACCTGCAACACTCGGTGGCTAACCATGTCCAAAATTCACCTTCAATGATCGGAATAAAATTAAAGCCTATCCAACAAGTCATTAGGTCTCGTAGTCCGGTTAGTAACGCACCGAATCTATAACCTGGGCACCGCTAACCCGAG